ACCAGAAGTCACTGGGACACCCATTGCCAAGTGCAGGCATTGATTTGCAATGCAACTGCTACTTCCAGGGACAAGGAGCAGCTCGATACAGACAGCACCTGGCTAGGGGCAGCAGAAACATTTATTTAAGGTAAATGCTGCTCAAGACGCACAGCCATTACAGCAGCTGTAAGGGTAATGATGATGGTAAGCAGTATTCACCAAGTCCTTCCTCCCTGCTAAGCACTCTACCTGCCTTCTCTGAGAAGTAGGGTTAGTATTCCCATTTTGTAAATGAACAAACTGAGCCCTGGAGCAGTTACATGATTCGCTCAGCATTACAGTCATTTCCAAGTAAGTCATTTCCAAGCAAAGCCAGCATTCAAACTCAAGCCCCTGTGACCCCAAATTCGAGTGTGCCCTGCACCACCCAGACCACGGCCAGGCTGCATCAGATGACAACCCCAGCAGAACTAAGATTTGAACCCAGGTGATCTGATGATGCCATGGTCAGCAAGCACCCTGTGTACCCCGTCAGAATGGGAATCGGGACAAGAAGCCTGTGCAAGGACAGAGTCCTCACTCACTGAAGTGAGCAGCTTCTTCAGAGGTTCTGAAAACACAGCAGGGCCCTAGGAAGGCACCTACATAAGGCGAGGGGGGCAGGGCAGCACCGTAAGAGTCGGTGTGACTTTGGGAGAGTCCTGGGTTAGAATCCCATCCTGGGTTAGAATCCCATCTCTGTCTTTTCCCAGTACCATCTGTGCGTAGTAGTCCACTCCTTGGCATACACCCAAGAGAACTGAAAATGTACAAAACCTGTTCAGAGCAGCCTTATTCATACTAGTCAAAAGGTGGAAACAACCCAAATGTCCATCAACTGGTGAGTGGACAAAATGTATATTCATACAAAGGATTATTATTTGACCATAAAAATGAATGAAGTACTGATACATGCTCTGACGTGGATAAGCCTTGAAAACATTATGCTATGTGAAAGAAGCCAGTCACCAAAGATCACAAATTGCATGATTCCATTTGCATGAAATGGCCAGAATAGGCAAATCCACAGAGATGGAGTGTGGATTAGTGACTGCCAGTGGCTGGAGGGAAAGGGGAATGGGGAGTGACTACTAACAGGTACCGGGTTTCTTTTAAAGGCAATGGAAATATTCTAGATTTAGATAACAGTGACGATTGTAACAACATTATGAATATATTAAAAACCATTGAATTTGATGCTTTATTTATTTTTAGATTTTTAAAAAAATGTTCTTTTATTTTTGAGCAAGAGAGAGAGTGTGTGCGGGGGAGGGGCAGAGAGAGAAAGAGAGAGGGAGGGAGGGAGGGAGACAGAGAATCTGAAGCAGGCTCCAGGCTCTGAGCTAGCCATCAGCACAGAGCCCGACATGGGGCTCAAACTCATGAACCGTGAGATCATGACCTGAGCTGAAGTCAGACGCTTAACCAACTGAGCCACCTAGGCGCCCCTGAATTTGACACTTTAAATGGTAAATTTTCTAGTATGTGAATTGTGGTATCACAATGAAAATACCGTCAAGAAAGGTACCACCAACAAAATGAGGATAACAACATGATGTATGTCGGGAGGCTGTTGGTCGTTTCACAACGTGAGGAGGTATATAAAATGCCTGGTGCGGTGCCTGGTACAGAGCAAGCATTCAGACACAGCAGCCAGATTATAATACATCACGTCAACACTGATGTTGGCTTTCTGCCTAAAATACAAGAAGGGGGAATGATACTGGATGCGGGGGAGGCTGGTGTTACGACTCTTGAGCTGCAACCCAGCTGGGCACCGGTGCCACCACAGGGTGCAGCTAGGGCTGGCCACCCTCCCTTCTCTGTAAGGAAGAGCCATCTCCATGGCAACCACATCATCTCGGGCCAGGGGCTCCTGTTCCCAGCTGGGTGACACTATCGCCACAGCAACCTGTCAGGATGGCAAAGGCAGATCTGGATGATGGGACTCCAGCAGCTCTGGCAGAACTGCTCAGGGACACTTGCCTCCATGGAAACCATGTCTGAAGAGGCGGGGAGAAGGCACATAAACACAGGGCCATGCCCCCTGCCCAGATCCCGAGACACCAAGGGGCATGCCCCAGAGGACCAGCAGGCCTGACCTCGCCTTCAAAGGGGAAGCGAACCAGTGTTTCTTGAGCACCTACTGTATGCCCAGCACCACACAGGGCTCTTTACATGCATGACTACATTTAAAACAACAAATAATCCCCCTCCCCAAAACTCACCTTACTACAGCATGAAAAGAATACAAAGAAAAGTCATTTCCATATGCTATTCCCACCATCTCTCATTCCTCAGTTCAGTGGACTTTCCTCCAGACTTTTGCTGTGCGTTTACACACATACATACATGCTCCAAAACCAGTCTGGTCTGTACGCATTTTCAAAATAATTAGCGGGATCTCACAATATATATAGCTCTCTCACTTGCTTTTCCTGTTTAACGTGCCTTAGAGATCTTTCAACATCAGTACATATATATCTACCTTATTCTTTTTTTAAATTGTCCTAAAGTATACATAGTATGAAATTTACCACTTTTAGTCATTTTCAAGTACTCATTTCAGTGGCATTAAGTGCATTCACTCACGGTTGTCAAGCAACCGCTATTCACCTCTAGAACTTTTTTCATTATCCTAAACTAAAACTCTGTACCCATTGAACACCACCAATTCCCCACTCCCTCCTCCCTCCAGCTCCTGGTAACCAGTATCCTGCTTTCTGTCTCTATGAATTTAACTACCCAATGTATGTCCTATAAGTGGAATCACAATACTGGTCCATTGGTGGCCAGTTCATTTCACTTAGCATCCTGTCTTCCAGGCTCATCCACGGTAAAGCATGTGTCAGAATTTCCTTCCTTCTCAGAGCTTACCAATAGTCCACTCTATGTGTGTACATTGATGGACATTAGGGCTTCTATTGTAAATAAGGCTGTGAGGAACGCAGGGGTGCAAGTGTCTGTTCATGACCCTGCTTTTAATTCTTTTGGGTGTATATCCCAAAGTGAAATTGCTGGTTCATATAATAATTGCATATTTAATTTGTTCAGGAATTGCCATACTACTTTATTCTTTTTTTTAATATTTACTTATTTATTTTTGAGACAGAGAGAGAGAGAGGGAAAGATGGCACAAGCAGAGGAGGGGCAGAGAGAGAGGGAGACACAGAATCTGAAGCAGCTCCAGGCCCTGAGCTGTCAGCACAGAGCCCGATGCGGGGCTCGAACCCACAAACTGTGAGATCGTGACCTGAGCTGAAGTTGGATGCTTAACCTCCTGAGCCACCCAGGCGCCCCACTACCTTATTCTATTTAACTCCTTCAGAGTGTTCTATGGTTACCCAGTCTTATTAATGGTTATAATCAACCTCATGAGCTGAGTACTGTTATTGTCCCGATGTCACCGTTGGAAAAGCTGAGACTTAGGGAGGGACTCGGTCAGGGTCTCAGCCACATCTCTGCCGAGGAAGGGTGGGTGAATTCAGGCAAGCTGTCCCTGTCTGGGCCTCAGTTTCCTCTCCTTTACAACAGGAACATGCTGAGCTCCAAGGCACTCTCTGAAACCATCTCCCCTTTCCACACTATCAAGGGTGCCAGCAACGAGAGCCCATGGCGGACAGGAGGCTGCCTGAAGGAGGGAGCCTCCCACCCAGCCCTGGAGCAGGACAGGGCTCCGCAGCAGCCCTTAGCAGCAAACGTCCCATCTCCACACTGAGAAGCCACTGGCACCTCACATCAACATGCCCAGGAGGAAGGGCAGCTGGTGGACTGTTCTGGCCTCAGGGCTGTGACGTGTCAGCCCTGGAACACTCTCACGTCTGCCCTCAGGGAAGGTGAGGGGTGTCCCAGAACAATGTACAACCTAGGATACCCTCGTGAGCAGCCAGAGGGCTGAGGCCCAGCTGTACCTCCACAGTCAGAAGCCCTCCCACCGCCCCAGGCCGTCTGGAACTCAGACCCCTGAATTCTGGAGGACCCTAGCCCCTAGCAGTCACCTAGGCTGATGGCTTTCAATAGGCAATCTGCAGAACCCACTGGGTCTGTGCGACCTTGAGGACATCCCTCCTTCTCTCGGGGGCTGTTTCCTCACCCAGAAAGTGGGTATAATCACAATCTCATTGGGCCTTTATGAAAATCGTGCAGAGAAAGTGGTACCTAGCACACTGCATGCCCCACACATGGCAGAATGCAGAAAGTACACACAAGTGCAAGGACTCACATAGCAAAGACAGAGCAGCTGGTGTCTGGGGGCCACATGCAGGAACTAATGTCCTGAAATCTATGTCAAGACACTGGCCAGAGGCTCAGCCCCCAGCACCGACTTTACACAAAACAGCAGCCCCTACATCGTGTCCACACAAGTTATCCCAGCTAGTCCTCACAACAATTCAGGGTATTATTGTCCTGTTTTGTAGAAGAGGAAGCCACGGCAGAGGGCCAGGCCCCACAGTGGGTATCGTGGAATGCTTTTTCAGTTAATCTTCCCACAGCTGCGCGGTTCTTTTGTGGATGACTATCTCCTTCATTAGCCTGTGGGTTCCCTTTTTTTCTTTTTAATGTTTATTTATTTATTTTGAGAGAGAGAACATGAGCAGAGAGAGAGGCAGAGAGAGAAAATCCCAAGCAGGTTCCACATTCAGCATGGAGCCTGACATAAGGCTCGATTTCATGACCGTGAGATCATGACCTGAGCCAAAATCAAGAGTCAGACACTTAACTGACTGAGCCACCCAGGCGCCCCTAGCCTGTGGGGCCCCTGAGGACAAGAACCGGTGTCTCTCATTCATCACTGTGTCCTTAGTGTCCAGCACACAGTGTACACAGTGGGTGCTCAAGAAATGTGTGCTGGAGGAATGAATGAATGAATAAGACAGCTGTCAGGGAGGCAGAGAACCTGGCTGGTGGGGTGGGGGGGGAGGGCTGACACACGCCCACCGGCCCCGGCCTTGCCCTGGTTGGGATGCACGAGCCCTCACCTCTCTCGGCCGTTCCAGCTCCGTCTGCAGCACCTGCTTGGCCAGCTCAGTCTCGATGAGCCGCTGCCGAAGTTCCTCGTTCTCCTCCTCCAGCCGTGCCCGTTTCTTCTCCACCGTCTCCAGCTCCTTATGCAGCCGCACGGAGATGTCCTTAGAGACCTGAACGAGGGTGGGTGATGAGCAGGGACCACATGGCCTTGGCTGCAGAGCAATCCCCCAACCAGACAGGGTCTCTCATCATCCCCACTTAGCAGATGAGGAAACTGAGGCACAGAGAACTCAGTAGGGGGTGGAGTCACACAACCAGGAAGCAGCAGGGGCAAAACCCAAACCCAGGCACCCTGCGTTCCCAATGTCTATATCACAGCTCAGTCCCCACAGAGCTCTAGAGACCTGCCTGTTCTTAGCAAGGCCTTTTCATTCACCTGAGGCATTCGGTGCTTCTAACTCTCACAAGAGCCTGTGGCGGGGCCAGAAGCTCATTTCAAAGGGAGGGAAGTGAGCTGAAGTGGAAACCAGAGCAAGATGGGTGGTCCCAGAGCCATGTGGATCCCATCTCTGCCAGTGACCAGCACATGATCCTGGGCAAATCATTTCCCCACTCTGCGCCTCAGTCTCCTTAACTGCAAAATGGGTGCAATAATAGCAGCAACCTCGTGGGCCCAACAGGAGGACTAAATCTGCTCTTACACAAAAACCTTGGCCTTGGGCCAGCACAGCGAGTGCTGAGTGAGTGGTGATGCTGAAGATCAGAGAGGGGCATGACTTGCTGGAGGTCATAGTGTGACCCCGAGGCTGGTGTCCAGTTGTCTGGGACAGAGAACATGCTGTCAATGACAAAGGCTGGGCTTATGTCCAAGTCACCCCTACAGAAAAGAGCTAACAGAGCTGCAAACTCTAATCCTGTTCCCAGGGCTCGGCAGCAAAAGCACCCCATTTCCTGGAGGACACCCTAGGGGTCCAAGGCCAGGAAAGGGAGCCTCTGGGGATGAGGAAGGCCCTTCTGAACTGGTAAATCACAACTACTCCAAAGTGGTCAAGGCACTACCATTTGTTGAATACCTACTATGTGCCAGATTCATTCATCTTCACCCCAATTCTGTCTGAGGTTCACAGCATAAGTGACTTGGCTTGGGGGCATGCAAAGCAAGTGGGAGCTGAGCTGGGGGGAGCCCCTGGGATCTGCCTGAGGGGCCAGCACGGCCAGGGCTCTGAGAAGGGGTCCCAGGGCTTTGCCAGCAAGAGATATGTGAGGAGCAGACAGCCCAATGCCCATGTCTGCCAGGCTCGGAAACAACTATGGCACCTCCTCCAGGCCGGAAGGGATGAGGGCCCTCCCTGGCTCTGCCCTCTGCCTGGGCCCAGGCCCAGCTCGGCATGGACCTGTTGGCAGTGTGCAAGGCAGGCCAGGAAAAACAACGGCCAGAGAGGAAATTCAGCGCTGCCTCCCCCTCCCTCTGGTGCCCACTGCCGCTCCCAGAAGCTGGCCCCCAACTTCCCTAGGCCACCAAACTTTCCCTGTCCACAAAGTGGGATGAGCAACCCCCCAATATCAGAATAAGGACTTTGCAGGTGGGGGAAACCAGACCAAATCTGATCCCAACACTGCGTGTGCATGGCCCACAGCCAGTTTATTTATACATTTGAAGTCTTACCGTGGTCATTGGTAAGTGGGGTTGATATAGCCTACTCCCAAGGGCTGCTGTGAGGAATAAATGACATAGTCCTTGGGCTGGTGGCCAGAACACCAAGGAATATAATTTGTTACAACATTGTCAGGATCACTGCTTCACCTCCGTGCACTGATTTTATCGGATCTGGCCCGGTACCCCACAACCTCCCTCTTGAGTTTGGTGTCAGGGTTTTTGCTGGAGGTGTTCAACCCCAGGCTCTGGGCTATGGTCCCAAGTTTGGGGCTATTAGGTCATCCAGAAAGCCCCTGTCCTGATGAATACTCCATTCATTCATTCATTCACTCATCCATCCATCCATCCATCCATCCATCCATCCATCCATCCATTCATCCTGCTTAGGCCCCAGGGGCAGGAGTGGTGGGGCACAGAGATCAAGTCCCCAGACCATGCCTGGGGTCCTTCACATCTCTGTGTCCCACCAGTAGCGTGGGGTCTGGTACACGCTGGTGCCAAATAAATGCTTGTTGGAGAACAAACAAATCCAAGGTTCCAAAAAGCTAAAAGGGAGATGAAGGAGCAAATGACTGAAATAAGGGGAGCTGCACTTACGGCTCCCTCAACCACCCACCCCACTGTCCAGGGAGGGCTGCGTCCCTGACAGGTGTGAGGGCTCAGCACCTGGAGGCTTCCCTCCTAACTATGCTCCCCCTTGGGGCCAGCTCCTCTCCATCCCTGCCATGGCCTCAACCTGGGAGGCAACACTCTCCACCAAGAAGACATGACCCATGTGGATTCCAGAATCCTCTTGGGTTCATAAATGACTCTATTGATGTCATCCCTTCCATGAGTCCCCAGGCTCCTTCTGCTCCATTCGCCACATGATCTCCATCCTCATTTGTCCCCCACCCCCAAGAGTTGCAATGTCAGGAAAGCCCAACCCCAGGCAGCTCACAGGATTCAAGTGTGAACAAAAGAGCCCTTAATTTCAGATCCCACAGAACCCTGTGTCCCCCGTGGAAGCCCATGAGAGCGAAGAGCATGCGTGTGGCCTGGATGGCAGGAATCTGGTGGCCTCAGCCCGTCCTTTCCTGTCTCGGAGCCTCAGTGGTCCTGGGTGCCCTCGCCTCTCACAGATCAGCTGTCACTTCCTGACACCATGTGCCTTTCAGGGAAGGGCTTTACTGTCCCCATTGTGAGGTTCAGAAAAGAAAGGTCACTTGCCCGAGGTCACACAGCTAGAAAGCTACAGAACCAAGGTTTGGAATCAGGTGGGTCAACTCTAGACTCCTGCTCTCGACCTGAACCTGTTTTTGGCCCAAAGCTTGAAGACACATTAATATCAGCACTAAAAGCATTAAAAATAAGCCCAGTAGTGGGCTCACTGTGTCAGATGCTCACAGGGCCCCACCTGCTGGTCTCATCTCTTCCTCTTATGATCCTCCCAACTGCTCCCGGGGTAGGGGGCTGAGATACGGGGCTGAGATACCACGGGAGGTGAAGCAGCTGCAGCTTCCGGACACCAGGGCAAATCCCCAAGGCGCAAACAATGCGCTCAGCCATGAGGTCACTGTTTACAGAACGGAGGCCTGGCTCCTGCCAAACACAACCAGCAGCCATCAGACCACAGCTCTCCCCTCCCCCACCATGGGAGGGTCTCTGGCTCCGGGGCCTGGGCCTCTGGCCGCAGGGTGTTCCTGTCCCTGTCACTCTGAATCCTCAGGGAGGCGGAATGGGCCCTGGGGTCTGGGGCTCTGCATTGTGAACAAGCCCTCCAGGGATTCTCATCCACAGGCTGAGATTCAGCCCCCCCCCCATGCCCTTGCCCCAGCCACTTCTCCTACTAGTGCTTAGAAGTTCTTCTCCTGAACGATAACACCACGACCAACGTTTTCTGGCCTGCTAGGTGAGCACTCGGAACCAGATTCTGTGGTCAGCACTCTCTTTACTTGGGTTATTTCGTTTTAGCCTCACAAAAATTTCCATGGGTAGAAACTAGTTTTATCTTACTTTTCCACATGGGGAAACTGAGGCTCAGAGATGGGAAGGAGCTCTCCGAAGGTCACACGCCAAGCAAGTGGCAGCGTAGGTCTCTGTACAACCATCACACTGCCCTCCACACGCTGAGCAACGCTCCTGCTGAGGTTCTGTGGGGTCCTGCAGGCGGTGAGGACCACAGACAAGGAGCCCAGGGGAGGGGGACACCAAGGCCTGAGGTTTTACTGGTGGCGCTTTCACAAAAACCTATCTGCTCCATAAAACCACTGGAACTGCAAAAGCCCTATGGGTTTGGCTGCTCTAAGCTCTATATTTAACAGAAGGGGAAACTGAGGTCCCAAGAGGTGGCCCCATGCCAGTCGGGGCATAGGCCAAGGAGCTGGCAGAGCACGTCAGAGAGTCTTGAGAGATACCCAGCTCCGGGGGTGTCGGGGGGGTCTCCACTTGGGTCCATCAGGCCCTCCCAGGAGATAGCAAAGAAGTCACAATTCTGAGAACCCCCAAAATGCCGGAGAATAACCCAGGCACTCGCAGCGGAGTGCGGAGGCCAGAGGCATCCAGCACAGGCCTGCAGGGATGAGCTCAGCGCTCCAGCTGCAGCGGCAGGGGAGAAGAGGGAGAGAAGGGGGCAAGGTGGATGCTGATTGGCTAGTTCAAATCCCAACAGAAGGGGTGGCTTCCCCCAGCCCAGAGCTCAGCGATCCCCCCTCCCACACGCTCGCCAGCTGCTCTCGGCTCCTCCCAGAGAGACATTGGCTGTCCAGCCCGCGCCTCCTCCGCCCTCCTCCCTCCAAGGCTGACTCCGGTCAGCCCCAGCCCCAAATCCGCAACCAAACCTAGGCCCAAACTTTACTTGTCTGAGCTTCCCTGGATCTTCCTCACCCCACACACCCTCAACCTGGAGTTTGAATTCAAACCTAGAGTTTGAATATTAGAGGAACCATTTATCCCGGGAGCTGCCTTGTCAGGTAGCTTTGCAGGGAGACACCTTTCTGAGCTCAGTTTCCACAGCTGCACAACAGACCTATAATCCCACTGCGCATGTGCAAGGCCAGCCGGCCACGCGAGCCTGCCCGTGGCTGGTTGGCTGGCACTCACTGCTCACCTCCGCCTCCAGCGTTCCTCCTCTGCCCTCCTGGTTCAAGCCCACTTCTCCCGCAGCCCTCAGTTCAGAAGTCGGCCCCGCAGGAAGGGCCCCTTGGGCCCCCGGGCTGCACCAGGCGCCCCCACCCCCAGCTCCTACATTCTCCTGAGTTCTGAGAGCAAGAGGCTGAGCTTGGGTCAGAGGCCTGAGAGCAAGAGGCTGGACTAAGTTCTCAGCCCCCAGACCAGGGCCCACACACACAGGCAGGGTGGGTTGCTCTTCTGGGGGCCCCTCCTGCCAGCCTCCAGCCCAATTCTCTCCTGCTTCGCAAGGCAGGGAGGGGGGCAGTCAGGCTAGAGAGGCTGATAAGTCTGCACTGGACCAAGGACACAGAGTGTCAGTGTAACCTTGAACAGGTACTTCCTGTCTCTGAGCCTCACTTTCCTCATCCAGAAAATGGGAATAATAAAAGCTAACATTTTTTAGTGTTTACGGTGACATTTTACCTTTACGATCTCTTCTAATCCTCATAGAACCCTGTGAGGCAGGGGCTGCTGTTATACCCATTTTACAGATGAGGAAATTGAAACTCAGGGGGCTTGCTCAAAATCACAAAAATTGGGCACATTGGAGTCAAGGTTTAAATAAGCCTATCCAGGCCTTCGCTACTCATTAGCACAATAAAGAAACCTCCACAGGGGCACCTGGGTGGCTCAGTCGGTTAAGCGGTTAAGGTTAAGCATCCGACTTCAGCTCAGGTCATGATCTCACAGTTTATGGGTTTGAGCCCCGAGGGCTCTGTGCTGACAGCTAGCTCAGAGCCTGGAGCTTGCTTCGGATTCTGTGTCTTCTCTCTCTGACCCTCCCCTGCTCATGCTGTCTCTCTCTCTCTCTCTCTCTCTCTCTCTCTCTCTCTTGTCTCTCTCTCAGAAATAAATAAAACATTTTTAAAAATTTAAAAAAATAAAAAAGAAACCTCCACAGACAAGGCAAGGACAGGGCAGGGACAACTCGAAGCCCAGCACCAGGTGTGGGAATGGCTGCTGTTAATAGGATTCATAGTTATGCTCTCACGTTGGGACGCTCCCGAGAAACGGGCTGTCAGTTCACCAGGAACCCCCACTTTGCAGATGAGCAAGCTGAGGCCCAGAGAGGTGGGGTAACTTGCTCAAGCACACACGGGGGCAAGCTGTGGGTTGACCCGGCCTCCACTTGGGCCTGCGCTCCCAACTCCGGGAGGGGTAACTATGAGGCTGGGGGAGGCCCAGAGCTCACCTTGACGTCCTGCTCCAGCCCGCGGATGAGCTCTCCGTCCACCTGGCCGGTCTGGGCGGCACGGAGGCTGCGGCGCTCAGCCTTGCGCAGCCGGTACTGCAGGATGCGGCAGGTCTTGCTGGCCTGGTCCAGCTGCTGCCGGAGCTCCTGCAACTGGTACACGTCCTCCTCCATGTAGACATCCCGCATCTCCAGCATCTCTGCGCGCAGCTCCTCGATCTCATCCTGCGGGGCAGGGGGGAGGGGGGGCGGTCAGCTGGCTGGGCCCATGGCAGTCTCTGAATGCAGGCCACACCCAGGGCTGTTCTAGGTGCCTCTGGGGGCCTGGGTGTGGTAGGCTGAATAACAGCCCCCCAAAGATGTCCATGTCCTAACTCTCGGAATCTGTGAGTTACCTTCCGTGATAAAAGGGACTCTGCAAATGAGACTGAGGATTTTGAGATTGGGAAATTTTCCTGTATCAGACGTGGGTGGGCCAATGTAATCACAAGGGTCCTTATGAGAAGGAGGCAAGGGGATCAAAGTGGGAGAAGGTGACACGACAACAGAGGGAGAGGTTAGAGGGACGTGCTCTGAAGATGGAGGAAGGGCCTCGAACAGGCGGCCTCCCGAAGCTGGACCGGGGATTGGATCCTCCCCCCAGAGCCTACCTACCATGTGGCCTTGCCAAAGTAGCCCTGCCGATGCCTTCATTTTCAGCCTTCTAACCTCCCGAATTGGGAGATAATAATCTGGGATTATTGTAAGCCAGTCAATTTGTGGTAATTTGCTACAGCAGCAATAGGAACCTGCCACACTGGGGAAGCAGAACAGGCTCATTGAACAAGCATTTGTGGGCACCAACCATGTGCCAGGCTCCGTGCCAAGCGTGGGGATGGGAAGGGACGGTGCTGACCAAGACTAATGTGCCCCCTTGTGTATCTTCTGCATGGAGCCCCACGTCTCACTGGGGAGACACACAATAACCAACAAATTTTAAACATCCAAGTAAATGGCAAGAAACAAAAAAACCCCACCTGGGTAATATGCTAGAGTAATGGGGAAAGGCTGTGTCCTAGAGCAGGGTCAGGGCGGCCATCTCCAAAGAAGGGACATTTGATCTGAGGGAAGAAGGAACAGCCACGCAGAGAGAGAGAGACAGGGAGAGAGGCCCCTAGGCAGAGGGTCCAGAGTGTGCAAAGGCTCAGACGCAGGACAGAGCTCAGTAGGTCAGAATACAGCAAGGTGGCAGGGTTGCTAGAGGAAGGGTAAGCTGAGGCTGGGGAAACAGACAGGGGTCGGCCATCTAGGGCCCTGAAGGGCCAAGCAAAGAGTTTGGGGTCTGGGTGTTAAGTGGAGGGTGCTGGGGGATGACCTCACTTCCCCAGGGTAGCCCCTGGCCACCTGTCACCAGCTCCCAGATGTCCCTTCCTTCCCCTTTATCACCAAGAGTACATCTGCAATTCTTCATTTGATAGCTTGTCTCCCAGAGATTCTGTGAGTGAGTCTCCGGGGGGCTGCCCCACGTCTACCTCACTCACCGCTATATCCCCCACACCCAGCACGGGCCTAGCATCCCATAGGCTCCCAACAAACATTAACTGAATGAGTAAACACATGTCTGGTTAGGTAAACAACCCCCCAAACAACATATTAACATGAAACAATCAATAGACAGAGTGGGATGAGTGAGCAGAAGAAATGGATAATTATTATGTGTCATAACAAATGTGGAAACTGAGTCACAAATGGAAATAATAAGATCTACTCTTAGGATGACTAAACGAATTAAATAAGATTGTACGCTGAAAAGGGAAACTGAGTCACAGGGGAGGCATGATTTGCCAAAGGCATCCCTGAGAAGCCAGAGAAAGCAACTAAGGACAGTGCTGACGGGGGCAGCGGGGTGGGTCCAAGAAGCAAAAAAACAACTCTTCGGGCCCTTGAGATGGACACAATCTGGAGAGTGTGGTCACCAGCCCTCTGCGCCTTTCTCTGCCCACAGAAAATGGGTGGCTCCCTACGAGGGCATGGCCTGGGGTTGTCCAGTGCCCCCCCTCCCCCGACACCCCCGAGACTGGGTAGGTCAGTTTAATTCAGGAGCAGCGTCAGGAAGAGGCCGGTTCTTAGTGTGAAAGCTCATCCGTCTGACTCCTGTGGACTATTTCCCAAACGGTTCTGAACTCAGGAGAGGAAGACGGAGGGAATAGTATCTGCTTCAGAGGGAACAGTGTCTCTTCTCCCAGCTCCAAAAGATCCTGTCCTCTTCCCACCATCAGCCGAAGGGCTTAATCCCCACTTGCCACCATGGCCTCTCCCCCAGGGATGGCTTCAGCAGCAGCCCCCAGGTGGAAGATTCTGCCCCTGCTGTAGGAACGGTCGCCTCACCAGGACCGAGGCTCCACCTCCGTCGCGATACACACACAGACTCACCACCACCACCCTGCCAAGTGGACAGAACTAAAAGTGGAAAAAGAGGAAGTGGGGCAGTCAATGATCACACCAGTCAAAAGAAATGAGGAAGTGAGGGGTCCACACGCCACTTCAGCCAGTGGATTAAGGAAGCATAAAGGAAACAGCACTCAGGAAGTGCAGGCCAGTCAGCTAAATCCAAGCTAAACCAGCCTCCAGAGGACTAGCATCTCCCTTACCCTCACTGCAGTCACGCTGACAGGACCTGGTGATGGGGATATGGAGGTCTGAGTGGACCTGAAGCTCAGGATCAACCAAGGGGAAGTGCAGGGAACACACAAGCTCATTAATGTTGGGCTACATTAACAGATATAAGGCATTTAACTCACAGGTGGTGACATCCCTCGACACAGGACCACATCCAGGGCACTAGAGTCATTTGGGGGATCATTTATTTCTTTAACTTTTAAATGAGTGGCTTTTCTATTTATAAAACTGAAGTGTGATCCTAGGGACAGTTTTGAAAGTACAGAAAAGATACATCACTCATAATTCCTCCACCTGCTCCTAAATCACAGTGGCTCTCAAGGTGTGGTTCCCGGACCAGCAGCATATAGCCATCACTGGGGAACTTGTCAGAAATCCTCACACCTCCACAGAGACTTAATGAATCAGAAACTTGGGGGTGGGCTCCCCAAGTGACTCTAATGCAGGGGGTTTCCTTCCAGTCTTTTCCCTAAAAGGGCCAGAGCCATCTGGGGCAGCACCACAAGACCAGGGCCTGACACAGAGCAGGGACTCACTAAGCATCTATTGAAAACGTGAATGAATGAATGATCTTTCTCACATGAGCAGCTGTCTCTCCAGGGCCCGCCCTTCACCACAGTCAGTTTCTAGAAAGGCAGGATGTTGCATTCCTGCCAGCTCCATCTCTCCATGGGGCTGAGGGGGGCCCAGGCGCTCGGGGGGGGGGGGGGACCCTCATCCCAGCTGCAGGAGGAACGCCGGTCAGCCCCTCCTGGCACGGCCTGGGTAAGAGAGTGCATCCACAAAGGGCAGCCTGTGGCCCGCACGGGCCGGGTTTGCTGGGACGCGGGCAGCAGAAGCTGGTGAACGCAGGACTTGGGCAGGGGCTGAGCTTTTGGCCTGCGGTGGGGCCAGGGAAAGGGGCTGCTAGGCCATAGGGAGGGGAGCCAGAAGGGCAGGACCTTGCTTCATTCTAGAGGTTCTTAGACCTCACTGAGCTTCCGAATCTTCCAGGGATGCTCAGTCCAACAGTCCCAGCCCCTACAAAGCCCTCCCGTGACAGTCTGCACCGGATGACAGAGCTGGGGGCTGGGGAGGGGAGCTCAGCCTTCCCAGCTCCCTCTCAGACAGTTCAGAGGCCTTCCTGCTCCTCTCCTCCCTCCCAGACCCCCCCATCCACGTGGGAGCGGGAGGGAGGGGCCAAACTCCACCAGACTCAACAGGCCCAGTGGCTGCCCAGCAAGATTGCTGGAGACTCCCCAACACTGGTAGGGGAACCCCAAACCCCATACTCCCCTGCAGACAGGAAAAGGCCACCTCAGAAACCGGGGGCCCTGATTCTCAACCCCACCGTCAGAAAGGCCAGCCTAAAGAAGCCGAGGAAAGGTGCTCAGACCAGGCATGGCCTGCCAGCCCCCAGACAATGCCATCCAGCCCCTGTGGCCACTCTTTCAAGCTGACTTCTGTTCCCCTTGACGTTTAGCCTGATTATTTAGGACGGGGAAGGGGTGTGGGGAAGGGTAGGAAGAGAGACTATTCTGCCTACTGCCAGAGTAGTCTTTATAGAAAATGTTTATTTTGCTCTAATTACAGTGGTAATTCCTATTTATTGGAGATAACTTGGAAAAAAAAAAAAAAAAGCAGGTCACTTTCTGTCTCCTCCACTATTTCCCACTGGCTTCTCTGATTAGGTCCAAGCCCCTTCTCTGCATTAGGTCCAGCTGAACCCACGCTGTTGGTCTCCTCCCCATTCCTGTCTTGCTCCCTGCCTCCTCCACCCCCCACATCCAGCTATGCCAGGTCTAGAAAATAGCTACCGTCTCGGGGCACATGGCTGGCTCAGCCACTAAAACAGGTGACTCAATCGCAAGGTTGTAAGTTTGAGCCTCACACTGGGGGTAGAGATTACTTAAAAATAAAATCTGAAAGAAAAAAAGGAAGGAAGGAAGAAAGCTACCATCAATGGGAAGGCTCACTAATGACAAGAAAGAAAGAAAGAAAGAAAGAAAGAAAGAAAGAAAGAAAGAAAGAAAGAAAGAAAGAAAGAAAGAAGGAAGGAAGGAAGGAAGGAAGGAAGGAAGGAAGGAAGGAAGGAAGGAAGGAAGGAAGGGAGGAAGGAAGAGCCTGGGTGGCTCAGTCAGTTAAGCGTCCGACTTCGGCTCAGGTCATGATCTCACAGTTTGTGGGTTCAAGCCCTGCATGGGACTCTGTGCTGACAGCTCAGAGCCTGGAGCCTGTTTCAGATTCTGTGTCTCCCTCTCTCTGCCCCTCCACCACTCATGCTCTGTTTCTTTCTGTCTCAATAATAAATAAACATAAAAAAAATTAAAAGAAAGAAAGAGAAGGGGAGGGAAAGAAAGAAAGAAAGAAAGAAAGAAAGAAAGAAAGAAAGAAAGAAAGAAAGAAAGAAAGAAAGAAAAAGAAAAGAGAAAGAAAAGAAAAGAAAAGAAAAAAGAAAGCAAGCTACCATCAATGGGGAGGCTAACGACCCAGCCCTGGCCCAAGCACATACATGCACAGTAATGTGATCCTCTTTCCAACCCTGTGAGGTTGGTATTGAAAATGTTCCCTTTTTGCAGATGAGAAAA